GTCTTATTTCTAAGATGGCTCACTTTGGTCTCACAGTAGGAGCCTGTCATTGAAGAATGACCTGTTGTTTCAGCTCACTTGTGTACTTAAGAAATAATTCTGGGAATATCTTTGCTGTGTAAATCTCCCGTCTGCCTAAGTGGATGGATTGCAGTCTCCTTTCCCTGTTTAAATTGTTCAAAATATAAGTTTGGGCCTGAACCAAAAAGAGGTTTAAGAATGACAACATATGTGAAATGCAAAATCTGGTTCAGGCTAACTCCTTGTTGAGCAGTAGCCAGAAGGCCATGCACACTCGTATTAAAGAGATTCTACTTTATTAATCTTTGAAGTGTGTGCAGTGTTTTCTCCCTGGAAACACACATTGATTCTAGAACAGTTGAACCTCTAGCCTTTCTAAATATGTTTTTGAGACAAGCTCTATTACCTTGACTTAGGTGACCTTGACCCCAGTTTGTAGCTCCACAAGGAGTAACCTTGCAATCTGCTGATTAAATTTTCTAAATTCTTCAATTAAAGGGCTGTAGCACTACAGTTTCAAAATTACCTATTTGAATCATGAAGTGGACTGTCCATTGCAGAAACAGGAAATGGACTAGCATGTGGAGCATGGTTTCTTCCTTCAGCACAGAATAGGAGGAATCATTTATTGTGTACACCACAGGGGCAATGGGGTAAACAAAACCTAGAACAGAGACTGATGTTAAAGGCAGTCCACTACAGAGTCACCATTACGAAGAAGGGCCTGATTGGGGCAGACTAAATGACTTCTATGTAATTTTCCTACATATTAATTCATGCCCTGCGAATGAAAGTAGACCAGATTAGGAGGTACTCAATTTGGGGAGGGTAGCTTGAGCCAATGAATATTGAATTTCCATTTAGGGAACTCTGCTATGTTGATATTGAAAGGACCAAGCAGATGCCATAATAGGCTGCTCAGTCTTCTCTCAGAGATCAGGCCTCAATTTCAATTTCCTGAGACTTGAGCAAGCAGTTTCTGGGAGGGCCATGAAGTTCAGTCAGATGTTTACTGTCTGGGGCCCCTCACCAACTTAGAGTTATGTGCAGTACATGCTTGGCCAGCCAGCCCCCATGGTGGCTCAAGGACAAAGCCTGGGACTTGTGCTGGACTGCCCCCAAAGTAATAAATTGTAACCACCAACCAGTAAATTCAAAGGTTACATACCCTCACCCAATTAAAAGAGAACAGAGATAAAAATAAACCAATCCGAGTTTCACCCGTGCAAAACTCCCCCAACCCCACTGAAGGGCTTGTGGATTTTGCCTTTAAAAAGCTAGCCGCACAAAGAAAAAGCAAGTTCCTCCTGGCCTCATGGTTACTATGAGTGAGTGCTTTGGATTGAGCTTCCCTGCCCACGGCTTGTAAACAAACAGAAATAAACCATGCTATTGCATTCTGTACCTAAAGTCCCTGGTGGTTATCTTTGGGGTCCCAATCTGGGCATAACAGATATGAGCAATTCAGATTGGAACAGTTAAGTCAGCTCAGAGATTGGAGATGCAAACCACTCATTGCCTGTCTTTCTGTATTAGACTACAGGTAGCAGCACTTAACATGTGACTAGGAGCCATGTCAACCAGAATCTGAGCAATGATATTCCCTCTAGTAGGGATGGGCTAGATTTGAAAACTGAAGTGTTGTTTTCTACAAGTTCTGAAATTTGCATTTCATATTCATGTTTATCTGATAAATTTTACACATAGTCTAGAAATTGGTGGAAAAGTTCTGATGGGAATCATCCTTCAGCAATATTTGATTAGAAGGCTTTTAACTTCCTGCTTCCTTCAGCCACAATAGTGTGATTCAGGGAATTTCAGTTCCAGGACACGAAAGAGGTTTATGAGCTGCAGTGGCTTCTCAGGTGTGCATGGTGTTGGGCAGGTGGATAGGCAATTTCTAGATGTTGTGCCATAGTCGATGTGGCAGGAAGCAGATGTTAAATTATTCTTCAGTGTTGTTTTCTGTGTAGGCATCTGTGGGGCTGGATTTACATGGAACCACAAGGAAATTTTCCTTCAACTACATCCCACCAAAGAGTCCCTGCCAGCCCAGTCTCAGGTGCCTTCTCACCACCTGTCTAGGATCTGGGACTGGAATGTAAAGATGTCAAGGTAGGGGGGCAGTGGCAAGCAAGTGGTCTGATGCCACTCCCCTTTAAGTCAGAGAGACCAGAAGGAGGAGACTCAGATGAGCTCTGACTTATAAAGCCAGGTCTGTGGGCTGTAGGGAGGCCTCTCTTACATCACTCCATGCAGCTCAGGGTCAGCTTAGACTTTGTCCAGACCTCCAGGCTCTGACCTACTACAGTGCTTTTCAATCAAGTTCAGGACTTGGACAACTAACCCAAATAGCTCCATGGTGTTCACATGTTACCACCATAGCCAACCATTATCAAAGAAAGTCTAGAGAAAGGTCTATAAGCTGAAGGTGACACACATGGGGAGGATAAACTCCCTTTTGGCCTGAACCTGGACTTTTGTTAACTGGATTTTCCTTCTTACTCCAAGTTCTTCATTCCTTAAGGGGCAGAACCCCCTACTTCCGATTCTGCAACTAAACCTTCACAAAGCTTATTCTACCTCAGGTTTTGTTTTTGGTTTTTTTTTTGTTTGTTTGTTTTTGTTTTTGTTTTTTATCTCTGGATGAAAGTTTCTTCTAAGACACTGCAGACCCTGTCTCAATGATCCACGGCTAATGGTGAGGGAGGCCAAGTCATTCATGTTTGTATAAGGTACTAGAACCTTTACTAATTCTTAATATCAGTGGCAGTTATCTCCCTCTTACCTTCAGGCTACAATGAGGCAATGACCATTCCTTCAGGGTTAGTGTGAGTATCATGTAGTCCAGTGACATGGAAACATTCAAATCTGTTTTATAATTTCTGAGAATGAGAAACAGAATGGGAGAGTGTATTGACTTGTGGCATGTGGACATTTGAAGATAGATTAAATACATTTTCATCATTGGATGGCCATAAGCCTAGAGTGACCTTTATTAGAATGTAGTCAGTTGATTGAAAATCCTCTGAGGTAATATGTATTTGAATCCTTATCTCTCATTGGCTTTCTTTAGAGTGTTTATGGATCTTTTAGTGTTAGTAACCTTTCTTGAGGAAATTTCTCAGTGGGGATGAGATTTATGTGTCTGTACCCTTACTCCATGTCCTGTCCTCTGTGTCTACTTTCTTATGGTTCAGACTGAGCACCCAACTTCTTTCTTGTGCTGTCATGCTTATACCACCATTATATAATATACCCTCAACCACACAAGAAATAGTCGGAACAATTGCTTTTTATTGCTAAGTCATTTTGCTAGCCTGATGGTTTTTTTCTTTGTTTATTTGGTTTTCATTTTTTAAATACATCCTTTTTTTTGGAGGACAGAGATTCTCTGTGAAGTCCTAGCTTTCTTGAAAATGTTTCTGTAGACCAGACTGACCTGGAGCCCAGATATATCCCTGCCTCTGCCTCCCACATGCTTGGATTAAGTGTGCTCCACCACATTCTGCTTTTTCATTTCTATGTTGTTGACTGATTGGCCTGGAATGTATGTTTTTTGTTTGTTTGTCTGTTTTTGTTTTTTTGTTGTTTTTTGTTTTATGTCAAGCACATGCTGTTGACTTTTGAACTTTGTCAGAGGGTGTCATTTTGTATCCCAGGATGGCACATGTCCATGATCTTAAGACTGTACGAGCCTTCAGAGTCATGAGATGACAGGTGTGTGACACTCTTGCCACCTTTTCTGTGAGTTTTTGCCTGCCTGCATAGATAGACACCACAGGTGTGCCTGATGCTCAAGGAAGTCTGAAGATGGCCTCAGAACCCCTTGCCTTGGAGTTTTGAGTAGTTGTGAGCCCCCAGGTAAGTACTGGCTATTGACCCTACCTCTTCTGCAAGATCAAAAAAGTGCTTTTAACTCCTGAGGCTTCTTTCTTGCACTATGCTATTTTTTCATGTCGAACAATTACATTGCTTACATTTTTCGTGTGTTCCTTTGTAACTGTTTAAACAGGCACTCATTTTTAGAAGGATCTTATTAATCTTACAGTTTAAACTGGGGCAATTCAGGTATCTAGGGGGATAGATACAGAACTGGAGTTTATGCATAACTATTTGCAGAAACTTCAGTTAGACCCTCTGAGTTTTATCTATCTTGTTTGTAAGTTTGTTTTTTAGATTGTGAGCATTGTCTTACTGTGAATCTCTGGCAGTCCTGGAACTCATTGAAGACACGAGGCAGCCCTCTATCTTAAGGATTCTCCTGATGCTGCCTCCTGAATGCTGGAATTAAAGGCCTAAACCAATAGAACAGGCTTAACAATCCTTTATTTGTAGTTAGTAATTGTTCATACACCTTTTCAGATGAGCACTAAGTACTGTTGATCACTTTGCTTCTCTATCTCAGCATGTGTATATCTGTTGATAGATATTTCTCTTGTAAATGTATATCCTGTTCAGTGGACTCAGAAATGGCAGGGGGGAACCACATTTTCAGTTTTCTTCTAAATGATTTGGTGATTACATCCAAACTTCTGTTTCTTGGAATAAGTGTGGGATGCACACAGAATTATGGGAATATATTGTCAAGAAAGAATATATTTGCAATGCTGTCAGTATTATGATTTCTGTAATATAAATGTATGGGATATTTTAGGATGCTGTGACATATGAAAATGTGCATGTGAGCTTCACTAGGGAAGAGTGGGTTTTGCTGAATCCTTCCCGTAAGAGTCTCTACAAAGATGTGATGGTAGAAACCTATAGGAACCTCACTGCTATAGGTAAGACTGAGTTTTTCTTCAATTACTAAAATAAGTGGACAAGTGTTTTGTGGTTGTTGGTGCACTTCTGGGATGTTGATTATGAAAGAGGAAAAATGTAAATGTCAGACATGGTTCTAAGGTTCAGCAAGGATAGCATTATATTTTGTAAACGTTCTAATAACATATCCTATATTTTCTGTTTCTGTATTTTAGGATACAAATGGGAAGACAAGAATATTGAAGAATATCATCAACCTTCCACAAGACATGGAAGGTAATTTTCAGGTGAAAGCTGATACAAATGTGTCTCTGAAGTAATGTTGGTGGGCCCAGGAAGTTTTCATGAAAAGCAAGGGAGGAAATAAGCATAGCTTTAAGTGTCTTGATGATTATTAAATTCTCACAACACTATTTACTTCAGTGTCAGGTAGCTGACCCATGCTTACAAAGCATTCTTTTCAGAAAAAGAAAGAAACAGTGGCTTAACAGATAGGACCATCTTATTAAATCCTGTAAATGCCATGTTGCAAAACGATCACTTGGTTGGGTTTCATATCATTCAGGTATATGCAGAAGGCTTATATGTGGGCTAGGTGATTGGTGTATGTTCAAGAAATTTCAAGAAGGAAATAGTCACTAAAAGCTAGTGCTGTTCTTACTCTTGTAGTGACTTACAAAAATATTTAGGCAGCAGTTTATGAAAGCCAAGAAGGTTGTCATGGAGAAATTTTAATCTCTATACCACTTTTCTATGTGGAACAAAACTAAACTCTGTAAATGTAATGTGAAAATCTTTTCTTTGTTATTCTTTTATAGGCATATCGTATGTCAGTCTGGATATAAGGCATATGAGCATAAGGGATATGGATAGAAGTAATGTACTTATCTTTTTCAGATCAGTTATAAAATGTGTAGTTTTCCCACTATGAGTAGACTTGTTTAATGTGATACAAGTTAACAGTAGTTTGGTTTTCCAACTTCATTGGGATTTCATCAACAAACTCACAATGGAGTAAATCTGTGTGAGTACAAGATATGTGGAAACTGTTGTATTTGTCCTGGGTTGCAAATGTATTGTGACTTGTTTAATGTGATACAAGTTAACAGTAGTTTGGTTTTCCAACTTCATTGGGATTTCATCAACAAACTCACAATGGAGTAAATCTGTGTGAGTACAAGATATGTGGAAACTGTTGTATTTGTCCTGGGTTGCAAATGTATTGTGACTCATAATATAGGAAAGCATTATGAATGCAGTCAGTGTGGTAAAGCTCTGAGTTCTTCCAGATTTCTTCAAAGATGTAGATAAACTCATATAGGGAAAGGATACTTTAAATGTGAGCCATATACTAAATGTTTGACCACCACGGGAATCTTCAAACATAAAAAGAACCGATATTGAAGTTGAGCTCTATGAATTCAAACAACTTAATAGCACCTTTAGTTCTGATTCGTCTTTACAATTATAGTAAAAAAAATTATGTTAGTAAAACCCTATGAGTATAAGTCATGTGGTAAATCTTTAAGATATCAAATATCTGTATTGTATGGTAGACTTCAAAAAAAAAAAACCAAGAAGATGCATCAGGGTAGTTAATGTAGTAAAGAATTTACTCATGCCAGGTTTCTTCACAGGCACAAAAAGAAGTAATTCTGCAGAGAAATACTTTGAATGTAAGCAATGTGGTAAAAACCTTCACATTTCATAGCACTCTGAAAATGCATGAAAAAACTCATACTGGAGAGAAACCTTATAAATGTAATCAGTGTGATAAAGTCTTTGTATATAATAGTTATCTTCAAAGGCATGGAAGAATTCATACTGCAGAGAAACCCTATAAATGTAAGCAATGTGGTAAAGCCTTTACGCATAATAGTAATCTGAAAATACATGAATCAATTCATACTAGAGAGAAATCCTATGAATGTAATCAATGTAGTAAAGCCTTTGCACATCACAGTTATTTCCTATAACATAAAAGAAGCCGTTCTAGGCTTGGACTTTCCCCCCACCTTTAAAGCTGGAAATCCATATAGATTCTATTAACTGGCCGTGCCTCTCTCAGTTCCTTCACTATCACACCTCTCAGTTTAGAAATGAGATGTCTTCCCTGTCAGAGAGTGTGTCTCACATGAGGGAGACACAGGAGTCCATCTTCTATATCACTGGTATGTTAAAGTTTGGATCTCATCAAAATTGCCGTGTAATTTTAGGAAATGGAGAGACAGACACACTAAGGCTATCTGAGACTGACAGTGTGACAGCCCTTTTATGGTCATTGAATTATATATAATAATAAATCATATAGGTGACAGTAAAGAGTAGGTGGCTTACGTGGCCTTTGTGGGGCATGTGCAGAATCAGGTTTTTGTGGTGGTATGTAAGACTGAGTCTGTTGATGAGTACTGCATGTAGCAGCTTAAGGAGTTTGGTGGAAATAGCCTGGTCTTGGTGACTAAGGAGGGCCTGATCCTACTAGAAAATGAAGAGAGAAATACAATGGAGGAAACCACAGCAATGTTTGAGAATTTCTGCAATCTCATGAAGGAGGTCTTAGACAAGCAGGCAAGTTTGTGCTGTAGTTTCTCCCTTGGAAACATTTTGGTGCTGTATAGTCAGTGGCTACAGGCAGCATAAATCCAGGTCCTGTACCCCAGCCATGATAGACTGCTGTTTGTGTAGAGCATAACAGATTGTTTTCACTCTGTTGATGAAGTGGGCATTTAATCTTCTTTTATTTTCGTAACACACACATATATGCTAATATATATGATTATTCCATGTAATATATATATAGAAAGCACGGGCCTTGCTGTGTTGTATAGGCTATCCTTGAATCCCTGGATACAAGTGACCTTCCTGGAAACTCAACCTCCTGAGTAGCTGGGGTTAGTCATCTCCCACTCTTAAAAACCCCAAGTACTTCTGGGCATATCTACTTAGCAGTTCTGGGACAGCCAAGACTATATTGTGGGGAACCCTGTATCAAAAAATATTTTTGTTTATCCACAGGTGGCAGTCTCTAATAGGCTTTGTTGTCACCCTGCTGCATTGTGACAAGTCTCTACGGCTGGAGAGCCAACGCGAAGCAGATCATGACGTCTTAGGCACTTCAAGAGAGCTCTGCAATGGGCTATATAATGGCCACAAGCACCTAGATGTCAGTCCTGCCCACCCTGGTGTACAGACGCTGCAGCAGAAAGCGGAGTTGGATAAAAATGACAAAGCTGTCAAGGACCTGGTGGTGACGTGTTTGCTACTGTTCTGGTCTCCTCTGATTTCTCCTTTGAGAAGCTCCTGATGTACTGCAATGCTTCAACTGTAAGAAGGCTTGTGAGGTATACATGGCAAGGAGTGGAGCATGCTGGATTCTATCATTTTTTTTTTTTAGGCATTATGAAGGTAAGGAAACAGAAGAGAAACACAGTTGCTGCTGTTCCTCATTAGTTCTCTCCCCGACTTGAGGGTGAGGAAGATGCCTCTCCCGTGACTGAAGCAGATTAGAGACCCTCTTCTCAGTGGAAACCCATGTCCTGTGCATCATTTCCCAGTGACTCCCCAGCAGCCTTGGCCCACCCTGACCCACCTGGCTCTTTGCTAATGTCTAGAGGATCTCTTCTCCCTGTCCTTGGATTTTCCTTAGACAGAAAAATCTGCTTCCACAGAATAGCAGTTTAGGTATTGTGTACTATGTGTGGCTTTTTGTTTTGTTTTGTCTACTTTATTCTGAAATTAAAGATATGCAAAATAAAAAGATGTAGTTTTATACATGACTGCTTTCATGATGCTCTGTGCTTTTCCTGGCTCACAGAACAGAAACAAGGGCAGCTTCTCTAGTACTAGCGTTGTTACTAATTCCTGGTTGGTTATCAAAGGTGATGATTAATTCCTTGTATTCATTTTTACCTTTGGCTTCATGTTATGATTTACTAAAAAAAATATTGGATAGTGAATATGCACCCTGAGGATTTAAAGTAGAAATGACTGTCTTTCATTTAAAAATGTTTAGGTTTGTGATTCTTCTAAGATTTTCTTATAATATTACCTTTTGAAATAAATAATGTAATGATTTATTCTTCTTTTGTAACTGCAAAATGCAGCCTTCCCATAAAAGAACTTGCTGAGAAGAATAGCTTGCTTGCTTGCACTTTGTTTATCTGTAAAAGTTGCTCAGACATGAATATATGTGAGTTCTTGGGAAGAATTTGCTTTTTACTTATCATATGTAAAACATTTCATCATGTAAGGGTATTGGTGAACATGTTGTTTTCTACTAGTACTCACTGTAATTATTGACTTGAATATGAATACAATGTAATTGCCTTGTAATTTTTTATTACTTGAATGATTTTGCTGAAGGATATAAGCTGTGAGGAAAATAAAGCCAGAGACCTTGATGTGCTGAAGGGGTGTGTGTGTGTGTGTGTGTGTGTGTGTGTGTGTGTTCCACCATTTGCTGACCGTGGAGAATTAAGTTTTCCTGCCTCAGAGAAAAAAGTCCGTTGTGTAAATACCCACCAACTCCATGTGTCCTCTTCAGTACCGGACCTGCTGAGAGCTGGTTTTTTGGTTTTTTTTTTTTGGCAGTACTGTATATCTGAATTGCCATTGTAACCTAGACCCACAATTGTCACAGCCATGCAGTAGTAACTCAGAAGAATCAGCTTAATGGAAAGTCAGGGGTGATGGGGCTGTTAAGGCCAAAGATGCAGCCTCCAGGGCTCCAATCTTTGCTCCGTGCTCCGATACTGAGGAAACATTTTGTCTTTGAGCCAAGGGCTTCTTGAGACGCTACGGAGAAGTCGTGTGAGGGGAACAGTGACTGGAGTTGTGCCGCTGCAGCCCCCTGTGCCCTCAGGCGAGGACGGTACCAGGTCAGTTCTCTGCGTCCTTCCCGCCCTCGCTGATGCAGTCCAGCAGGATGGATAAACAGCCTCCCTCTTCCTCTGTCAATGAAGTCCTGGCCAGACCTGGTAGACCCTCCTCCCTTCCTGTTCTCACCTGCTCAGGCACATAAGTCAAGACTTCCCCCTCTGTTGCAAGGACAGCTTGGGTCACAGACATTCCCTGCTTTGCACACCTGATCACCACATTCCCGTACAATTTCTATGGAACAGTTTGGAAGCTCCTGGGAAGGAAGGGCCACCAGCTGCACCCCTTTCTGCACAGGCTCCCAACGGTGTTACACTGTTGAGCAGCTAGGGGGTGTTGGTCCAGGGAATTCTAGTGTCCAGGCCATAGGCTCCCTCTGCTTCCTTCACTGCCATTCTCAATACCCAGCAAGGCAGAAAACAAGCCTTATTCTTCCTGCCTCCTCTCAGCTCTCTACAGTGGCCTAGCCACAGTGTCCCAGATCAGCCTGGAGACAGTCCAGGCCCAGGTCCTGCCTAGCACCTCAGTTTGGATGGCCTCCCTATGTGCCAACCTGCTTAGTCACAGTCGTCAGTCCTGCCATCCAAGATGTAGTGATAACCCCTGCAACTCAATGGACCAGACTTGTGAATATCTGTGAGTCTATCCTTCTCCTTATGTTAGTTTCCTATTTTTAAGCAATGGCGTTTTTGACTGGGTCTGTGGCCATTCCCACTATCGTCTATAACCGTGACTTTCAAGGCTCTGTATGACCTGCTGCGTCCTCATCACCCATTCACCCAAACATGGACAGTCCTGTTGGCCTGCTTTCAGTATCTTAAATTCACCAGTGGCCATCCCCAGCGTTCTGTCCCTTTCATTACTCATCTTATGTCCGAGTTGATAGCTTCTCTCTTCCTCCCAAAGAATGATCCTCCACCCACTTCACTGTCCTCCTTCCTGCTAGTTCACCTTCTGCTCTTCACCCATTGCAAGTTATCTCCATGTACTTTGGTATTTTATTTGTTTTGACAGCCACCTAACTCACAGCACACACTTGCTTAGTGGTTATAAGCACTAAGCATCAGAAACTCTGTTGGTTTGTTTCTTCTTGTTCTTAGTCTTGTTTTAGGATTACACTAGCCCTGTGTTCTGGCCTGGGCAGATGGGTAAATACCTTGGGACACAGCTCCAGCAGCTATGCATTCAGCTTCCAGGTAGGAAGAGGTTGGGGCTCTGCCTTGATTTTACTCAGTACAAAACAGTGACTTCCCTGAGATTACTAGATCAACAAAATATTGTGGAGTTTGTGACACTAGGAAAAGACCATAGAGCCACTCCAATTATAATTAAATATAATCCAATGAAATATTGATTCATTAGGTGCTATCAGGATAAAGACTATCAGAGCCAAATTTGAGATTTCCACGAGAGGGGGTTGGGGAAGTGTTATTAAAGGGGAAAACTATAAGAAGGCCTTCAGTATCTACAACAGCAAGCAAAACTTGTCTGTTCTGACCAGATAAGTGGTTAAAGCAATTCAAAACCATCTTAGGGCATCTAAAATCAATTAATTATATAATTGAAAGTAGATAGTCACAGCTGCACATTTTTGTATGGAGGTCACTGAGTCAGGGTTATTGGAAACTTGTCTTCCAGGAAAGGAAATCAGAGCAAATGGCAGGTAGGTAACAATAGATGTCTAGCTTAGAATGGAGTTTCTTAGTCGTTTCATGATAAACAGTAAACATCTCATGAATATCTGTTGACTGTAACATGAATTTATAAATGGTCTTTAGTAAGTAAACCAGAGCCAGCTATCAGGGTGAAAGCAGAAAGATTGGAGAAGCAGAACAGCCAGCCACTAGTTCTTACCTCAACAAAATCCTCATCCTAAAGAGAGTGAGTTCCTGTCTCCTCATGCCTTGTATACCTTTCTCTGCCCTGCCATATGACTTCCTGGGATTAAAGGCATGTGTCCATGCTTCCCAAGCAAAGGCATTAAATCTCAAGTGCTGGGATTAAATGTGTGCCACCACTGCCTGGCTCTCTTTCTCTCTTATACTGGATCAATCTCATGTAGCCCAGTGTGGCTTTGAACTCCCACAGATCCAGATGGATCTCTGCCTTCTGAGTGATAGGATTAATGGTGTGTGTCACCACTGCCTGACCTCTATGTCTAATCTAGTGGCTGGCTCTGTCCTCTGATCCTCAGGCAAGTTTATTAAGATACACAATATATCACCACAGGTGACCAATTCTCAGAGCAGTCAATTGATAGAGACAAACGTTTAGTAATAGAAGTTGAGTCAGTTTATTAAGAAAGGGAAGAAGCATTCTGGAGGATAGAATTTGGCTAGTGGACAAGGAAGCATGAAAGCTTTTGACAACCAGTGTTCTCATCTAACATCACCTTCCCTTTTGTTCATTTGTGTGTAATATGCATGCATGTTTGTATGCATATTACATGTGTTTGGGAACATTCAATTCTCAGAAATCAATATCATACAGACTTCAACACTACTCTGTTCAGCGCTGTTGCAGAACAAGCTATGTTTGGCAGAGTCAGAGCCCCAGTGAGGGGATGTTGAGAGACCATTGTATGAAGCTGTGAAAATGAAGCCTGGGTTGCATTTTGAGACCGCAAGATATTACAACACCCAAGCTATAAATAAATATAATTTTTTTTTTATTTTACAATGTGTCACAGTCAAGACACTTTATCCATAGTCTGCCTTGTGTTTCAGAAGAGACTTTGGGCATTTCAATACTCTTGGGACTTTTAGAGAATATGGGGACCTTTGAAGGTAGACTAAATGCATTTTGCAACGTGAGTTGACTCTGATCCTATAGTGACCTGGATTAGAATGTGGTCGGTTGAATGAACAGTCTCCTAGATAAGATTATGTATTTGAACATTTGTCTCTGATTTGCGCCTTCTTTGGGATTACTTATTGAAGCATTTGGAGCCAGAGCCTTTTTAGAGGAAGTACATTATTGCAGATGATTTTCAATGTTCATAGTTTCACTACATTTCCTATTCTCTGTGTCTGTGTTCTCATGACTAAAACTGATGGGTCAGTTTCCTTCTCTTTCTGTCATCTCTTCATCACTATAATGATGTCTGGGCTCTAATATAACATATAATAAAGGCATTTTCTTTTTTTTTAAATTGCTTTATACCTTTTATGTTTTATAAAACCATGTACCTCATTGTAAGGTAGCTCCTCGGTGTTTACAAGGCATTTCTCTACAATACAATTTCTCTAGATATCTTAACAAATGCCACTGTTTGAATCACATACCATGAGATCAGTACTGTAGAACTGTCAAACAATTTGGTTTAAACCCAGTCAAATATTGCAAATGTCATACTGGAGATAAATATTTTAC